TCCTTTTGTTGAGCATTAATAGCATTCCACTTCCGCAATGACGCTTAAGACTAGTCTAACAAACAAACAAAAAGGTCTGTTTTGAACAGGAGTACGTGTGGGTCCTTCCCTGCCTTCTGCTTTTGGAAACTAACAGTAGAAACTTTTTTGGATATTAATGTTCGAGCCAGGGCCAGACCAAGACATTTTGGACCGTGAGCCGAACCACAAAATGGAGCCCTTATCAGGAACAAGGGGAGGGGGAGGTATAGATCTACATTGGGGGAAAGGGTGAGAGGAGACCTCCTATTTGCCAAGAGGCTACTGCAGAGAGGGCATGGGGGGTGGCTGCTGAGGAGATGGCAGATCCAGCCTCCAAGGAGCAGTGGCAGTAGCAGCGGGCAATGCATTCCCTGCTGCCCCTGCAAATCCTGCCACCTGAGCCAGTTGCCTCAGCTTGCCTCATGTGTGGGCTGGCCCTGGTTTGAGCAAATGCAGGTTAAAACCACTGGCCAAGACCTCTCCATGCACAGCAGAAATAGCCATGTTGGGCAAGCAACACTTAATCAGCACTTCCTGAATTTATCTAACATTCCTATATCCAAGGGCATTGCGACACAGTGAAAGGGCAAGGGCACAGGTCCTTGATACAGATTTGCATATGCTAATACGCAATTAAGATGATGGAGGGCTAGAATCTCGCCAGCAGAGCATCCAGGTGAAAACATAAAGCATGAAACGAAGAAGAAAAGGGGCATATGATCTGGGGTGCAGCTCAAGAAAGAGACCTGGTATTCGGGCTCCCCTGGGTCCCCCTTTAACAACACTCATGCCTGTATCCTCCTAAAAATGTACGGCATTTATGATTCCAGTACAACAACGTGGCAGTAGGAAAAAACACATATAGATTCCTGTAACTCTCAAAATTCAAATTATGAATTATGGTGCTGGAGGAGACTCTTGAGAGTCCCATGGACTGCAAGAAGATCAAACCTATCCATTCTGAAGGAAATCAGCCCTGAGTGCTCACTGGAAGGACAGATCCTGAAGCTGAGGCTACAATACTTTGGCCACCTCATGAGAAGAGAAGACTCCCTGGGATAGACCCTGATGTTGGGAAAGATGGAGGGCACAAGGAGAAGGGGACAACAGAGGACGAGATGGTTGGACAGTGTTCTCAAAGATACAAGCATGAGTTTGATCAAACTGAGGGAGGCAGTGGAAGACAGAAGTGCCTGGCGTGCTCTGGTCCATGGGGTCACAAAGAGTCGTACATGACTAAACGACTAAACAACAACAACAAACTCTCAAAAATGTAAAGCAGAGCAAGGTGAAGACAAGAGAGAAAGTGGTGAAATTTGTAATGAGCGATACAATTGTCCCCACTCTTAACCGTAGTGAGGTCTGAGCTTTTTCCCAGCTCAACCTTGGCTGTCAAACTGATGTCAGGTGGTTCCTTCATTGGAGCAATGCTTGCACCTTCTCCCCCCTCTTCGCCAGCCTGTAATATTCTGCACAGTTTGTGCTCATGCTTCACTTTTATATGTGCCACAATTGTGGCCAATTTCATGGGCTTCTGAGAGGGAGGAGCCAGAAGATACCCTTTGGATTGGACGCACCAGGCACCGTGTGTTGGCTGTTGCTCATGGTGACTTCATGAGGCCCCAAGTAGGTGCAAAGTGTGAATTGTTCTCGTCTCAGAGGAAACGGCTCACTCTAGGAAAAACTAGATGAGCTTGCCCAGGCTTTGAGACATAGCTGTCAACTGTCCCTTATTTGGTGGGAAACTCCCTTATCCCAGCGCTGTGTCCCGCTGCTGTCCCTTATTGATGATGTCCCTTAAATTTCCCAGGTTTCAAAGGAAGCAGCTCCTCTCCCTCCCTCCCTGCCGGCCAGGGAGGAGGGAGGCTCCAACTGTATTTTGCTTGGCTGCCTGGCCCGTCCCCCTCCGGCCTCCTCTCCAAGGGCTAACCATAGAGGGATAACCATAGATTTGTAGTGGTAGACTAGCATAGATGGTCTGATCTGCGGGTTTACTTTGGGCGCTATTTCCCCCCCCCCTTCCTCCCACCCTGCCTGATGGAACTGAGAGCTGCAGATGGAGCACGAGAGAAAAGATACAGAACTGCAGCAGCATCTTCGTAGCTTGGACTTCGTTTTGCGCAAAAAGTGGTTGCTGTTTGTAGTTATTTAATTGCAGTGTTTCATCAGCTGGTATCTTGAGCACCAACCTCTGGAAACGAAGGGCTAAAAACCAGCACGGCTCTTCAAAATTATCTGGTCCCTTTTAACTTCATATTTCAGTTGGTTGACTAAAATCCCTTATTTTGGCTGCTGATCCCTTATTTTCGAGGCTGCTGGTCCCTTATTTTCAAATCTAAGTTGACAGCTATGCTTTGAGATCTTCTGGGAAGGCCTTTTCTCAGTCCTGCCACATTTGCAGACATGTTCGATGAGGACACGGGAGAGATAGGAACTTCTAAGCGGCTGCTCTCAGTTTCTGGAACTCCCTTCCATGATCCCCTCTTTCCTTTACTTTCACCAGCAGGCAAATACTTGTTGGGTTCAGACAGGTCTTTTGGCCACAAGCTGACGTCACACACATGACCCTCTGAACACCGGGGGGTGGGGGGCAAGAGTCTTGGCCCCCAGGAGCCGGCACCGATTATTGCCACCGCGACTGCAGCCTACCTCTCAGGTGCAATAATGTCTAAGGCGGTTCCATTCTGCAGATGTCCCCATTGCGTTTTGTGCAGGGTGGATAAAAATCAATGATTAAACAAATAAATAAATAAGTAGGATTTTTTTTATTTAAATTGGATTTTTTTAAATTTAAATCACATTTTTAAAATAAAATGCTTTTGGAGGAAAAATCTTTCGAAAGATAGTTTCGTGTTCAAGTTACATTATAGTCCAAAGGCTATTGATCCGGAAATAAGGATTTGTTTTAAGTTTTTCATGTGTGCTAAAACTCAGTCTAAAGTGGGTTTTTTTTAAAAAAAAATCATTTAACCACATCAGTTAACAAACATGGATACATATGCTATAACGTTATTGTTTTAGATAAATAAATTGTTTAAATTGTTATTAAGGAAATGATTATTTTTCTCCTTCCACTAAAGTACAGCAGAAAAGTTGTCCAAATATAAAGAGTTAACTTATTAAACCTCACAATAATTTCATAGTTATCTGTCAATGCATTTCTAATAGTATAACCAAATCAGTAATTTTTGATATAACTGTAAAAACTACTCTGAAAATTTATTATTCCAAAAATGAAACCTTGATCTGGTTGTAAATATTAAGATTACACCAGCAAGAATGAGTCTTTCTGTAAAAAAATATATGATTTAAATCAAGTCTTACTGACTAGTGATTTAAATCGTGATTTAAATTGATTTGATTTAAATCAAATCCACCCTGGTTTTGTGATCCCAAGGGAAGAGGAAGCCCTGACTCCAACTCTTGTTTCCTACTTACTGCAGCTGCTATTTCCATGAACCTCATCACTCTGCTTCATTGACCCACATTATTACCCTGACTCAAGCGAAGGGCTCGGGACGTGAGGCTGCTTTCGTCTTGCAAGTTTAGCTTCCCAAAGATGGAACTCATGAGGAGGCATTCGTGCCCACGCATGCATGATGCGCCTGAACTGTGGTGGTGGAATGAGTGGGGAAGACAAGGCAAGGCATCCCTGCCAGATGCGAGATATTTGGCAAGGCTTTGGGGGACCTGCAGTTAGTGTGGGTGCCTCCTTTGCTCCCCCCCATCTCTTCTCCCACTTCATGGGCTTCATTTCATTTTATTCACATGCTCTGTCTTCATTGCAGAGAACCCCCAGCAAGGCGGTTTCCCCCCCATGCCAGCTGAAAAGCACAAAGTCACACCAGTGGTGTTACTGGACTGGAAGACGGTCACAATATACCGGTAACAGCCAGAGATGACCTCAGCCCTATTTGCAATGAAGATTGGAAAGGAAACCATCATTTTGCGAGAATTACGTGCGGCTCAGGGTGATTTTGGTTTGTTTGTTTTTCAAGCCAGTGACTGGTTTCTGACTCACCCTGGTTTCTCTCTCTCTCTCTTCTCACCTATTCATTATTTATAAAGCATGGAGTGTGATGCACAGCATCAAAGAGTTCAGTCGAAATGAGGCATTTCAAATTCTAAAGGCCAGGTTCTCCTAGTTATCACCCTATTATTTTTTCAGCGAGACTGCTTGGGTGAAAAAAAGGAGGTAGTTTCTGCTGGGGGGGGGATGAAAAGCCAGGGACACTGAAACACACACACACACACACACACACACACACACACACACACAGTTTTATTGTGACAACTTTGGTCCATCTGCTCTGCCATATGCCCACGCTTTATTATAAATAAACACCTGTAAACAGCGCGGTAGAGTCATTAAACGAAAGGCGCAGCCTCAAAATGAGAGGGAATGAAACCTCTGTTAAATTTTAATACTAGAGATGTTGCCCCTAAAACGCATCAATCTGCCTTGTGCAGAGTCTGTCCATCTAGCCTAGTGTTGTTTGTGCCCAATGGCAGCAGCTGAGCAACATCTTTCACAAGGGGGTCTTAGCCTGAGACCCTTTTAAAGTGAATTAAACCTGCACGTAAGACATCTGATGACCTCTTCTCCACTGCAATGAAAACTTGTTCTCAGTTTTGTTCTTGGTCTCCAGTTTTTGGTCTTAGAAGCCACGAAACACAGAATCACTGAATTGTAGAGTTGGAAGGGACCTCTATGGTCAACTATTCCAGCCCCCTGCAATGCAGGAATACAGTGGTACCTCGGGTTACATACGCTTCAGGTTACAGACTCCGCTAACCCAGAAATAGTACCTCGGGTTAAGAACTTTGCTTCAGGTTGAGAACAGAAATCGCGCAGCAGCGGCGCAGCGGCAGCAGGAGGCCCCATTAGCTAAAGTGGTGCTTCAGGTTAAGAACAGTTTCAGGTTAAGAACGGACCTCCGGAACGAATTAAGTACTTAACCCAAGGTACCACTGTAGTTTGTCTAATGTGGGGCTCGAACCCATGAACCTGAGATTAATACCCTCATGCTTTACCAACTGAGAGGTATATAAATTTAATACTACTGCTGCCAATAAAAAGTACTAGTGAGAAAAGAGTCTTTACAGTCGAAACATCCTAGCTTTGGAATGTTCTCCCCAGAGAGGTTTGTCCAATGCTAACTTTCATGTCATTTTGGTGCCTTTATATTTAATCTATTAATCTATTCTTGCTTTAAAATAATTTTACCTGCCCTATGGTTTTAATGCTATATTTTTTGTATATAATTTACATTTTTTGTTAAAAGCTGCATTTAGAAATTTTACAGTTACAGGAGGGCATATAATTATTTAAAGCAAACAGATTTGTTGCATGATGGTGGTCTTGTTCGGTTGTCTACTAAAGACATTTACACTCGGGTCTTGAAAGAAACATTACAGTGGTACCTTGGTTCCTGAACGGCTTGGCTCCTGAACAAACCGGCTGTCAAACACCACAACCCTGGAAGTGAGTGTTCCAGTTTGCAACCTTTTTTGGAAGCCAAACGTCCAACACAGCTTCCGATTGGGTGCAGGAAGCTCCTGCAGCCAATCAGAAGCCACACCTTGGTTTTTGAACGGTTCCGGGTGTCAAACGGACTCCCGGAACGGATTAAGTTCGACAACCAGACTGCAGCAAACTGCACAGGAAGTCCAATTACCATGTTACTTTTGCCTTAGTTTGCTGGCTGAAACCAGTTATCCAAGTTTTGAACATTTGACAGAATGCCCAACATAGATTAGTGCTATGCCACTTGCCACACAGAAAAGAGTGGCCAACTAACAGATGGCCACATGATAACTGGTCAAAAACCATCGGTATAATCTTCCATCACAATATAATTGTACTGTTAGCTTTGCCATGTCGATAATGAATGGACTTGGCACAAAAATCTTAATTGGTCAAGGAATTGCAGGAGTTCTGCGAGCTCTTATGCCATTCTTGATGTTGCATGCACCCATAAAGACAACAAGCATAATCCAAGCCTAAATCATCCACTATTTATTTCCTGGCACTCTCTCGAACCACCGTCAGATCAATTTACTTCCTGTAGCGTAATAGGTAGTCAGTACTTTTTGGTCTGCCAATAACTCCACAGGTATTTAAGTGCAAAATAACCGTGCTTTGTATCTTTTAATCCAGAAATCAATGGTGTGGCTTCCAAGGGTTGTTGCAATGCAGGTGTTAAACCAAGTTTTAAAACTGATGGAATTCTGGGTTCTGTCTTTCAAAAACAGGAGCCCCAAAATTAGAATGCCTGTAAAAGGTGCAGAAATGTAGAGTTTTGACACAGATGATGAGCACAAGGGAGTAAGAAGTTCTTCTGATCTGAGAGAGGACCAAGCTATCTGAGGCTGCCCTTGGATTGCCTGAGAGTATTCTCCAGGAGACAGAGAATCTGGGTAAAACTCCAAGCCAATCCATGATTGCCACATCCCACCATCCTGTCACCTCCCACCCAAACAGATCCTCTCCTTTCCCTTAGCAGCAGTAGCAGCAGCGAAGATACCCTCATTTCTGTTGCTTCATTCATGACGGATAATAGTGTGGCAGGGTGTAGGGGGTTAGGAGAGCTATAGTTCTTTCTGGGGCTGTTCACCTCTCATTTTAAGATTAGCTTTATGAGGCCCCAAGTCCTTTTTTGAGTTTGGTAGGACACTTCCGGCCTGCACTTGAAACAGGCAGAGGAGACAAAATGTGATGAAGCTCACGGCGAAGAGGACTCCTCACAAGGGCACCCAACCTGCTTTGAAACATAAGCTTGATGTAGGAGGGCTAAGTAGGCACAAGGAGAAGATGCCCTATCACAAGGACTACATCTGCCAATGGTGGGAAGCCGAGATGGAGACAAAATGTACTCATCTTCTTGGGAGATTCATATGCAAAAGAAGGAGGAAACTGTTCATCACTGTGTGGGTCAGTTTCATAGATCGAGCTGCAATTGTGCAGTATGTGTCATGTTGAGTTTAAATTCACCGGCACTGGCTTTTGAAAGCCCCCAAATGGTCTGGGTGGGATCAGGGCAGGGGCTGGGAACCTTTTTACACCAATGGGCCACATTTCATTGTTAGTCACCTTCTGAGAACCATGTGTCAGTCTTGGGTGGGGCCCCGAGGGAAAGAGTGAGTAATGCAGTAAAAAAAAAAAAAAAAAAAGTAAAGGTAAAGGACCCCTGGATGGTTAAGTCCAGTCAAAGATGACTGTGGGGTTGTGGTGCTCATATCGCTTTCAGGCTGAGGGAGCCAGTGTTTGTCCACAGACAGCTTTCCGGGCCACGCAGCCAGCATGACTAAACCACTTCTGGTGCAATGGAACGCTGTGACGGAAACCAGAGCGCACGGAAACGGCGTTTACCTTCCCGCCACAGCAGTACCTATTTATCTACTTGCACTGGCATGCTTACGAACCACTAGGTTGGCAGGATCTGGGATAGAGCTCATCCCGTCGTGGGGATTTGAACCGTCAACCTTCTGACTGGCAAGAGCAAGAGGCTCAGTGGTTTAGACCACAATGCCACCCGCATCAGTGGTAACTCAGTGGTACATTCCAGCTACACAAAAGTCTGAGAATTTTATATCTGCAGCAACAAAACAAAACATCACTCCAGCAAAAATCTAGGCACTTAGAGCTGACCAGCTAATGAAACAACTTGGGGGGGGGATCTCCTATGAGCAGGAATCTGAGTGAAAGGAGGGTCATTCCTCTACACAGAGCAGCTGGGTAGAGGAATGCTAGAGAACTGGACCTAGTAGAGTGATAATGCTAGCAACATATGCTGGATGCACAGCTTCTGAATGTGCTTTGGCCAGCCCTCTTTACTGCAAGCATACATCATCTGCTCATAATCTTCAAAAGTAATTTGGTACCCTGTCTTCTAGAAGCCTTGTATATCTCCTGTTGGTCTCTGAGCTGGATACATACTGGAAGTATGCGTTCTTTGCCCAACTCTATTCTGCTTTAGGACAATTTGTGAACTTCTCACTTAGAGTTGTATCCAATGAAGCCATCCCATTCACAAGGATTTCTGCTTGCTCAATGTAACTTCTCCACTGTCCACTCCCCCCAGCACATCCACCAATTCTGTTTCCTCCAATTCTCCAAAGCAGAATTATTATTATTATTATTTGGATAGCGCGTCAAGGAGGAGGAAAGGGAGGGGAAGTTCCATTGTGTAAAAATGTAAGATTCTATGATATATGTAGGAAAGAACCTAAGACATGAAATGTGTGATGAAGAGGCCCTCAAACACTAGTTTTAGATGTTAGTTCCTGTAAGAACAAATGTGTTTCTTCTGGAAGTGCAGCAAAGAGAGTTTAAACCCAGAATCTTGAGTCCCCCAGTTACTGGCTTTTAAAAAGCTGAAATATTAGAGCAATGATTCTTTAGAACGATCAATATCGTTCTTATCACACTTACAGTCATTTCCATGAATTCCCATAACACTGCATGAAAGAGGGGTGGTTGCTAGTAATCATTAGGAAATAAATGAAGCACTCATCTAAAAGCCCACTCTGAAAATCAAAGGGGCACTTGGCTCTTAGGATGTTCCTGACCCATCTTCTGTAGAGTATCTTTTGTGATGCTTTGAAAACCACAGCTTCAATTATTGCATTAACTTTTCCTCATCTTGAACCTAATTCCGCACTCTTTAGCCTAACCAAAATTAAGTGAAGGACACTTCTTATTTTCTTCAAACTGAACACTGACTGCACAAAAGAAGCTCCTAAGCATGGGTTTTTAAAGAAGCCAGCTGTTTAAAAGCAGCACGGAATTCCTTCTAATATATGAAACAAAATTAGATCTCCCCACCCCGTGCAATGACACTATAATCCATCATCCAAGACATCTGTGAAATTACGTTCAATAACTTGGGATTTTTTGCATTTCTTTTTTGTCCTGAAAATGCTTCTAATCAATACTTGTTACTGCAGGAAGTAATTCTTATGTACTGTCTTTGACAACTCTATTCTAACAGCATTCTAATGCTGATGTTCTAATGCTATTAACTGGGCCGCATGTTACCCATCACAGCTCTTGACCCATAGTTTTTGCAGATGGGTTTATGGGCTCCCTTCTTGTCTTACTTTCCATGCAGGCTCTCCTCCTTACTGTGGGATGTAAACACAGGAGCAGTCAATGACACCAGTCTTGAAAGACCTACATGTTGAGCTCCCAGTATGTTTCCGAGCACAAGTCAAAGTGCTGGTGCTGACCTTTAAAGCCCTAAACGGCCTCGGCCCAGTGTGACCTGAAGTGAGCGTGGCCTCCACCCGTGCAGCGTACTGACCCAGAGCACTGAGGTCCAGCGCCGAGGCTCTCTCTCTGCCAGTTTCCTCATTGACGAGGAAGCTAAGATGCTCTCTAGGCTCAACCAGAGCAGGAGGAAGGCCTATCTTGCTGTAAGATGGATTCTGAACGCACGTACCCTGTGGAAGCTGTCTGCCTCCTGGGATCAGATGTGAACAGAGCGATAAGTAAACTACTCTGTACATTTATGAAGACATCTTAAGGCAGCCCTGTATTCTAGGAAAGTTTATAATCTGTGATATTTCACTGTATTATTATGAGTTTCTATGGAAGCCTGTGCACACGATATGGCTGCGAACCCAGCCAGATGGGCATGTCTACAAATCTAATGATATTATTGGAACTTATTAGCATTAGTTGGATAATGATATAATCTACATATATCTTCTCCATGCACCCAGAGCATCTCCTCACTTACTACCTAGTTTCATCTAAGCATAGCTTATCACAATGTCCAAATTTATTTTATTTTATTTATATCTCACCCTTCATCAGTTTTAATAATCCCAGGCATTGTAGCATGATCTTCACCCAACGTGGCATGTGCCCTGATTGGTTGTGTAGTGCTGAGGGAGTTTCCTCTGTATGCTTGGCTCAATGTCTACTTGTTATGTACAAAGCCTGACCTAAGAAAGACCACTCTACTTGTTTCTCCTCAAATTATATACTGTTTTTGTTCAATTTGCTCAGGAGAGTGTTATCAAGACTTTTCTCTCTGGACTCAATTTG